TGTTGTTTTTTTACGAAAATTAAATTTGAATGATTAATTATTGATAAGCAAAAACACTGCAAGAGATTAATTCGCCATCTTAGACCTACAATTACAGATTTCTGTATGACATTTTTGGCCGTTTTGAGTTACTACTACCAGGATGTAGAGAAAAAATTATAATGTTCCATCTGTTCTATCAAAATCGTAGGGTTATTAATTGGGAGTCGTTATCAACATATTTCAAAGAATTGCATTAAAAAAAGCTTTGAGATTGAGATGTGAATCTCAACAAATTGAATTAACGTCCAATCTCTCAAAAGTAGGCAGTGGGCCGGTAGAGCTTTGCAGTTCTAGTCTACTATAACTATAATAGTATAATCCAAGAGGGTAGCGATTGTAGCAAATAGCGCTCCCTCCTACCACAAGCCAATCTATTTTTAGAGCTGGGCGAGGAATCGATTCAGAAACCGATTCCCACGATTAATGCTACAGAAGAAAAGTTCCGGCTCCTTTTTACGTAAACCAGCGGTTATCAGTTGCTTTGCTTTGATCACTAAAATCTTCTCCTCTTTCTTAGAATTTCTTTTTGAAAAGTAAAAGTTGATGCTTCGTAGTGTTCCGAAATCAAGGTTATCCTAAATCCTGAAGATGTTCGGAGCCAACCAGGTAACCACCGGGAAAAAATCACGTCATTAGAAAGTAAGTATTTGGGTTCGGAGTCGAGTCCTACGATTCCTAGCTTTCAATAATCATGAACCTAGCCGTCCAGCACTACTGTTTATCCCATATTTTGGCATCATTTTGGGATTCCCACTTCGCTCTCGTCAACAATCTCTCCTTCCACCTCGCCTTTACTTGGGTCTGATTATTTTTTCGTGTCGAAAAATATTCGCTTATATTATTTACTAGGAACGACCTTGTTTTAAAAAAATAAAAAATCCTAAGTACGCGACATTTCACTTGAAAACCAAGCCGAGTCCTTTCCTAAGTGAAAGTGTTAAAATGTTGAAGAGACAGAATAGACTGTGAGTGTATGTCAATGTGTCTGTCAGTGTGGTGTGAGTGTGTGTGTGTGTGCGTGTGTGTGTGTGTGTGTGAGAGAGAGAGAGAGAGAGAGAGAGAGAGAGAGAGAGAGAGAGAAAGAGAGAGAGAGCGAGAGAGAGAGAGAGAGCACATGCCACAGAGACACTGTGCGGGAGTATGCCTGTACGTGTGATTGAGTTACGCATGGTAGTCATAGTCATAGTGACTCATAGTGCGCTCAAAAATTCGTGGCGCAACTTCCCCAAATATCTCTTTTACGAGTGACTCAGTGTCACCCATACTTTGCACAGCAGTTTGCATCAATTTGTCTTAACTTAATATAATCATATTTTCCCACAGCAATTGAGGCTACATTAAAAAACGTTTCTTCATAAATTTATATAAAATACTGCAAATTTCATTCGCGCGGAAAATGTAATAGTTCACAGAACCCCTCGCTTCTCACACACATTTTGCATACGCATTTGGCCTACGTCACAGCTCACCAATGACACTCTTTAGTGGCAATCTTTGTTACAAGAAATAGCCTACATAAGAGCGACATTCCTACAAAGGGAAAGCAATCTTTTTTTTTTTTGGCTTCTGTTTTCCGTTTTAGAAATAAAGATTTTATTTATTTTTGCGGAGCTGGTCAGATCTGAGAACGTTGTCGTGGTAAAGTTTAGATCTATGATGGACTAGTCGCCACAACATGAGACCAGACGGGACTATTTTCAAGAAATCAGGGGGGGCAGCCCCTTCCTCACCCCCTCTCTCTCTCTCTCTCTCTCTCTCACACACATACACACACACACACACACACACACACACACACCCCCCCACACACACACACATACACACCTCCCCAGACAAAACTACAACCACCAAAACGTCATGTTTAATGGGACAAGTACTTTGGCTCTCAGTCAGGTGCTTAACTCTTGGCAGGACAAAGTTCGATCTACCTTTTTTTCTTTCTCACTCTGTCTTGCTTCTTGTGTGGAAAAAGCATTCTCTTTTACCCAGAAATGATTTTTTTGTCTTCTTCTCTATCATTACTCTATGCATTCTCTTGCTAGACCTCAGATTTCAGGGGTAGTCGACTGCTGGTTCTTCAGTTCTTCAATCTGCAGTGAATGAAATTGATTTTTACTTATGCGACCGTTTTTCCAACTTCGAAGAGCCCCTTGCCTTCTCAGACAGCCACATTCCGATTTTGAAGGTACCGTGCATATATTACTATTATTGTATTCTATTTGTTTTTACACAAGTGTACAACGACTAGAACATTTTCAGGTTTGGCAGGGACTCACTTAGAATTTTGCCCGCGTGGCTGTCAAAGCCTACTCTTATTGATTTAAGGAAGCACACAGGACCTCCGACATTTTTTCCCCTTTATCCGAGAAGGCTATGATCAGTTGTTTGTTTTTACTGTTTTTGTAAGTGTTTTACGGCGCTCGCAACTGCATAAGGTCATATGAGCACGCGGTCTATGATCAGTGCTGTGGCTGAAAGTTGAAAGACAGTTGTAAGAAGGTGTCAGAAGTAGCAGTAGAAAGAGACTGGAGTATAGGAGAGAGGAGCCCAGATGAGGAGGGGGGGGGCATTACGTGGAGATGATAGCAGATGACAGAATAGGACTAGAGGACAAGAAAGGAGGTGAGAGGAGAACATTTTAGAGGAAGTTTTTTAGTCACAGTCACAGTCAGGTTTTGAACATTGAACCTACCGTACAAAGAATGAGAGGAGAACATCATGACACCTCTAGACCAACAGAGCCCCAATGATTTTTTTACGTAAGTTTTCTTTTCTTGAAAGAAGCATGGAAAACATATTGTTACCAAACCTTGTTTCAAAATGTTCGCAGTTCCATATATTACAAGCGCAAAATAATATGACAAACAAACAAGCAACAATACCACAAACAACACAATAATACAACCAACAAACAAAGAATCATACCACACAAGCTGACAGTTGTATTCCCATTCTTTATTACGATTGCAGAAGGAGAATAGAACAAGTTAACAATCTCACTTCCCAAAACTCAAAATACAATCCAATCTTGCTCCAACAATTTCCTGCGGCCAGTTGCTCAAGGCGTATCTCTACCGTTTTTTCATGAATATGTACAAATATAATGACCACTGAAGTTAACTGAATCTACAAACAGAATTAAAAGTCCCACATAAGCTGGTAGCAAGACGTTCGCGCCCCCCCCCCCACCCAACCCTCTCTCTCTCTCTCCCCCCCTCCCCCAGACACCACAGGGTAACAGAGGTGGGGAAAGCAAAGTACGTGGTCAGTATTGCATACAGACGAACCTCAAAGGCCACCAAAAATGACATACGTCTGTAAGCAATACTGCCCGCGAGTAGATAAACTGCTATCATAAATACCTAACAAAAAGAAGATATCATGAGAAGTAGAGCAATCTGTATATTAGAATGTTCAGCTTGACCTCAAGTCAAGAGGCAGAACGGTTGTCCCTGGGCTAAAATAAAAGCCAGTAACTGATTTTAAATGAATTAAATATAATAACCCTTTCTGTAGTTCCAGATGAGAGGCATGACTTGACCTATACCTATGTCCAATGTCTTGAAACACCGACAAAACATTTTTTCTCTGACCAATTATATGCACCCACTTTTCCTGCCAAACCAATGAGTGTGGAAATGTTTCAGTGCTTCCGCTCCCTCGCTCTTGGTTCCTCGACGACTCCCACAAACTTTGACATGATCAACATTTTCCCATCAGCCAACAGTCTCCCCACGGACAAACAGTGTCCCCACGGACCAACAGTCTCCCCACGGACCAAAAGTCTCCCCATGGACCAACAGCTCTCACTGAGAGCAAGTATAATCAATGTGTCACGGTGGGACCAGGCACTAATCAATTTTTGGGCATATATACATTCGCTGGCTGGGTGCAAGAACCCTACAAGTGCCAGTTTGCAAATTGGCACTTGTAGGGTTCTTGCACCCAGCCAGCGATTATGGAGTTGTTGGTATTTTCTTAAAGTTTGTTCATCTGTCTTGCTTTCCGATGAAAAAAATGCCCCATCTATCATTTTAAAAAGTTGAGATATTTGTGCTTGAAGGAGGTGAGGGTTGCCTGGTGTCAGAGGTAAAATAAACGAGAATATGACGCCAAAGTTTGCTGAATTCCAAAGCTTAAGTTCTTGCAAACTGAAAATTTACATTTTTTAAATCAATATTTTCTTAGTAAAATCCTAACAGAAATTCGTTTTTCAATGGACATTAAAGGTGTTGAGACACCCTCCCTCCAAAATTAATTTACAAAATTGGACAACAATTTCCCACCAGGCTGAAAAATGTTGGTATCTTCCACTGCAATATTTTGACGAGAGCCTGATGTCACGGCAGTGGCACATAAATATCTGTTACAGTACATATGTCTATACCAAAAAAAATTTATTAAAAAAAAAAAAAAAAGCCTGCACCGCGGTCATGGAAAAAAGAATTATAAATAAATGAGTTTGTCGAGAAAACAACAGGAAAATTTCGACACAAAAAACAAGCATCTAAAAAGATTCAACATGGTTAAGTTTACTTTCCTGTCTCACTATCAGTGGATGTTTCTTCTAAAAACTTGGGAGACCAAAATTGACTTCTGGTTTGTTCTAGTAAAGAGTTTTTTTTACGGCACTTGCAAACAGACAGGTCATATCAGAGCCCAAGATGAGAGGCGTTACTAGAGTGTAACATACAGAGAAAAGGAGAGATAAGGACCATAGATGTTTGATAGGTAAGAAGAAAGAGAGATAAGGACCATAGATGTTTGATAGGTAAGAAGAAAGAGAGATAAGGACCATAGATATTTAATAGCAAAGAAGGAGCAAACTACTTCAGGGCACCCATCAACCACCCACAAAATCAATTTCCACATCGTGTTAAAAAATGCCCCTGCCTGTGTTCCCCCGATCCCATCCACCCGGTCACACGCAGTGTCACCCGGTCACACCCGGTCACACGGTGTACTCTCTGCCTCTGTACTCCCGGCTCTTCGTCTCCCCGCCCCCCTCCAGCTTGGACAGCAACAGTTCGGCGCCCTTGAAGGACATCTTGCTCAACGACTTCCGCACGGGCTGAAGGTTTTCCTGAACGCGCTCCGTGATCGTCGAGCAGCCCACCTCCAGGAGACTGCAACGACAATAAACAGGAAATGTTACAAAAAGAACAAATATTACAATAGCATCAAATGTTACAATAAGATCAAATGTTACAATAGCATCAAATATTACTATAACATCAAGTATTACCATCAAATATTACTATAACATCAAGTATAACCATCAAATATTACTATAACATCAAATGTAACAGGAATTATTACAACATCAAATATTACAACAACAGCAAATGTTACAAAAAGAACGAATGTGAGGCGTGCTGACAAAATGAGTTTACAAATGGAGATATTGACCAAAATCGACAGTAGGGTCAAATTTGTAGATTTTCTATTAATGATGCCATATTCTGTAAGTTTTTTTTTTTTAATTTTTTTTTTTAACCAGACATCTTTCTTGTTGTATACTGAGAACACAAAACGCTGCACCCATTACTCCCTGCTCTTGCCTGTCAGGTCAGCAGCCTTGACCTTTTCTCAAACTTCATCTCCACTAAGACGACACTGAGAGGGTGAACAGCTATCAAAACTCCTCAAAATGACCAATGTCCTAGAATTCCTTTCGGGGACTCAAACCAGGCCCCTCCACAAAACAATAGCATGACACCAAATGGTCAAATGG